AGAGGGAGTCACAGACTGAAACAGGCTCCAGGCTCTGAGCTGGCAGTCAGCACAGAGCCCGACGCGGGGCTCGAACCCACGAACCGCGAGATCATGACCTAAGCGAAAGTCGGACGCTTAACCGACTAAGCCACCCAGGCGCCCCAATCCTGTTCGCTTTTTATAGGTCATTGCGGAACCTTCCAAGGACAGACTTTGAGGGAAGGTATTAGAAAAGCAAGGGCAATAAATTGCAATGCCAACTTGGCAGTGTAACATATTCCACAAATTGCAGAATAAAATAGGGTCCGTTTTCTGTTTCTGATAATGACACTTGACATTTGCACAGCATATTTTAGTTCATAAGCTCCCAGAGTTCAGCTAATTCTGGGAGTTAGGAGAGCAGTTACATGCAGCGGGTTCTCCCCATTACAAGTGCTCTTGTGTACGTTATCTTATAAAACCCTTCGAGCTGCTCAGGTCACTTGATGACGTGGGGCCGGGACACACATCTTTCCACGGCACCACCTGCCTTCCATGCCTTCTCATCCCTTGCCCCACCAGTGGCTTCTCTTCCTCCCATCATCCTGCTGTTGCTGACCTGTTTGCCTTCATCGATTCCTAAGCTGCCGAAGTAAATCCAAAGCAAGCAATGGAAACGTCAATTCGTGATTTCTGAGGAGCATTTAAAAACAGTAGGTTTTATGTGGCGCTGTTCCATTCCTTTTTCTTGGTGGAGAGTACAGCCCTCTGAGAGCAGGAACACTTCTGGCCATGCAGACTTGGTAGAATCCATAGCAGACCATCTCTTGTAACTAGTGCCATGTGGAAACAAGGAGAGCTTCTTACTCGGCTTCCCTGGGCATGGATTCTTGGGCTTTGAAGATAATAGAGATCCCTTCATTAAACCAAAGACCCCATCAATTCCATCTTCCCTCAGGACTTCCAAAGAAAACCATCTAACTGAAGATGGGCATACAATTTTAAAAACCACAAACCCCATAGAAAACCGACCACCACGAGGTAGACAGCAGATTCAGTTGGTAGGAAAATTAACCACAAAATGATGTAGAAATTATAGGACTACCTAGAACAGGCTATGAAAATCTATAGTGGATGTTTGAGGATCATGGATGAGAAATAAGAGCATGAATGCATGAAAAGCTATTGAGATTGAGATAGTAAATAATAAGGTCATTGAAATTAAACTCCATTTGATGGGCAACAGCACGTTAGACCCAGCTCTTGACAGTGGATTCTTAACTGAGACCATTGTAATGAAGCCCAAAAAGACTAGAAAATGAAGAATCCCTCAGGTCGCATGTGGAGAGTGGTCTGGATGGGGCAGGACCGGGAACACTAGTAAAACTTGAAGCAAGTCGTTCATTCAGCGTACAAGTGCCTGTTATGTCAGTGTGGTGAAGGGGAGGGTCCTGTTTAGAAAGGTCCTATTAATACTTTTCAGTGGTTCAAAATGGCTCAACCAGGAGAGTGACAGTGGAGAGGAGATGGATGAATTTGAAAGACATTTAGAAGGTAGAATTAACTAGATGAATAAAGAAGAGGAGAAACAGTGGAGGGAAAGGTGGGTTCTTCCTGACAAAAAGTAGGAAGAAAATTTTAAAGTGGAGGTTTATTCCTTTAAATTCACTTACTGAGCACTTCATCACATGTGTTGGCGATTGATGGAGAACAGTCCCTAACTTCAAGGAGTGACATTGGCAGGATAAACAGTGGCCGTATGATACCACCGCTAGTGTGATAGAGCTGTACCCAGGTTGCTGGAGAAGCACAGTGGCTTCCAGCTATTTTCAGGGAAAGGGGAATGGGATCAAAGAAGACCTTTCAGAACCCAGGAAGTATGAGCTGTCTCATAAGCAAAGCTTAACCTAATGAAGGATAAAGAATCAGAAGGAATAACATGTTCTAAAGCCAAGAAGCTTAAGGCTTTTGCATGCTTCACATTCACGCACTGTCTGTGTGTCTGTGTTTGAAAGGACCGAGGAGGGGGAAAGGAATAACAAGGTGAAAGCCTAATATATAATGCTTAGAAGTTTGTATGTCACAAGACGAGAGAATGATTAAGGATCTTAAATAGGGAAGGGACATGACCACATTTGTCAAGAGTGCGGGTCACTCTTGAGATCCTGTCCATGATAACTTGAAGGTAACCAGTGTGGAGGCAGGTAGCTCACATTTGGAGGCATTTGGAGTTATGCAGACAAGAACTGGTAGATAACCTCAAGTGTAAGTCACGGGAATGAAGATGAGGGGAGCACACCGTGCATCACCGGAGGGAACAGCCTTCCTGCAGGCATGGTGACCTGAAGAACCCACCCCCCCCCCTCCACCGTTTCAGGAGATGAGCAATGCACCCTTTATAGTTGTTGAGACACAGAAAAGGGTAGGATATGAGGCTTGAAAAACCAGATGATGAAGAGCTCCACGTGCCGTGCCAATGATTTTAGAGCTGATCTTACTAACAAGTATTTTCAAATGTGAGCTGTGCAGTTGGGACTATTATTTAGAAAGATAATAGCTAACTGGGGTGCCTTCACTCTTCTAAGCCCTTCATAGCTGTGATACATTGGACCCTCGTTGTCACACTATTAGATGGATGTCACTCTTCCCTCCAAGCCATAAGTGGAAATAGGCATAAGGAACATAGGAACTGAGCTGTGGCCTCACACCTAGTAAACGGTAGAGCCCAGATTTAAACCCTGGCCATCTGAGGCCAGGGCCCTCACTCCTTACCTTATGCACCCTAGGTGTTTTCTCAGCCATGATGTACATCAGAACTTCATGTGGCATTTCTAAAGTTAAGGTTACCTAAGTCAACTAAATCAAAGTATCCAGAAGAGCGACGTGTGTTACTTGTTTTGCAAAAGCTCCGCCGTAATTATGCTGCACTTTACTCCTGGTCCAGCACTGCAGGGGTCCCAGTTGGAAAGTTCTGGCCGGAGTCCAGGAGAGAGCCCAGGGCCCAAACCCAGTCAGTCTGTGGGAAAGAAGAGGAGGAAACCGATCTGAGAGGCTTAAGAGGGAGAACTGGTGTAATGAGCTGTAAGCATTGGGGAAGAGTCCAAGTGGAGGTCTAAAAATCACAGTGTTGAATGGTTACTTAGCAAGTGATGATCTCAGCCAAGACAGGGTCCCAGCAAGAGGGGTAGATTTGGGGGGGCATGACGAATTTAGTTCTGAACACCTGGGTTTGAGGGTCTGGGGGTCTTCTCCTTAAGATGTCTTGATCAGATGTCTGGCACTTGCCCATGCCAGCCACTGGGCAAGTGGCTTTCCTCACTTTTGCTTCACACAGTCGGCCCCTCCCTCTCAGATGAGATCTCTGAGAGTGCCCACTGCACAGAGGAATCCATAGTGAGTGAACCCGTGCGAAATGAACCTTTGTGAAGGCTTCCCCGTCTATTTCAGCGTGGCTGATAGGTGTCTTCTCAGACTGTACGTTCTAGTGTGTATGTAAATGTGTGTAACACAGACACTGGCCAGTACACCTGGTCTAGCAGTTCGTTAACAGCGTCCTTTGTCCTCGCCGGCTCACAGGTTTCATGAAGTAGAAATGCAGTGTCTTTTGCTATTTCTCTGTGGGGTGTGAACCTGGCCTAGGAAAAGGGGTAAGAGAACATACCTTCGGGCGTAGATGATCCTATTTTAGCCAAATCTAGTTAGGGCTGATGGTTGTGGAGATGGGGAGCTGGGGATTTAATGGTTTGAGGAGGTGTTATGTGTGTGGGGTTAAGCTCGAACTTGGAACCGTTGTCCCTGTGTGTGATCTCATGCTTACACGGTTGTCTGTCTCTACTTCTCTGCCCCAGGTCTCTTGGGAGAAACTCCTTGAGGTGCCCAGGCTGAGACTGGGGGGTAATGACACTGTGAGCTCTGGATGGTGTGAGACCCCTCCCCACCCCCAGAGCCAAACAATGGCTACAGCCTTGGAGCCGGAGGACCAGGATCTCTGGGAAGAAGAGGGAATCCTGATGGTGAAATTGGAAGATGATTTCACCTGTAGGCCAGAGTCTGTCTTACAGAGAGATGACCCTGTGCTTGAGACCTCACACCAGAACTTCCGGCGCTTTCGCTACCAGGAAGCAGCGAGCCCTCGAGAGGCCCTCGTTCGGCTGCGAGAACTTTGCCATCAGTGGCTGAGGCCCGAAAGGCGGACGAAGGAGCAGATCTTAGAGCTGCTGGTGCTGGAGCAGTTCCTCACTGTCCTGCCTGGAGAGCTGCAGAGCTGGGTGCGGGGCCAGCGGCCAGAGAGTGGCGAGGAGGCTGTGACGCTGGTGGAGGGTTTGCAGAAACAACCCAGGAGACCAAGGCGGTGGGTGAGGAGGGGGAGTCCTGATCTGTGTGATGTGGAGGGGGACTTTTGCTGGAAAGATGGATTTGGGGGGGAAGGGCCTACAGGGCCCCCATAATTTACTCTTTAATTGGCTCTGTGTGTGGGTTGCACCTATGATAAGGGGCAGAGGTGTGGTGTGTGTGTGTGTGAGTGTGACTTTCTGGTTTTTGAAACCCATGCCTAGGGACCTTTTTAGAGACCTCAGCACCCAAGGGTCATGTGGTTTTGGTTTTCCTTTCTGTGGATGCCAAACCTCCATTTCCTGGGGAAGCCAGTTTTGTGACTTCCTCAGAGGTTCTCCTATCCTCTCTGTCCCAGGGGCCCCCTGGCTTCCCAGGACAATAACATAGGGAAACAAACAGCAAGGGGAGCTTGCAGGTGGGAGAGGTGGAGATGGGCAGGATGGGCACCTCGGAGCCCTGGGTGACAGGGGCAGTCTTGAGGAAAGTGAGCAAGCCGTACAGTGTCCGAATGTCCCTGCCTCGTCCTGGTGAGGATAACCTTCCTTCAACAGCTCTCGCGTGCCCCAGTGGAACCAGAGTGTCCCCTCTTCCTCTAGGACCCTCTGGGACTTTTTTCTGTTGGCAGCTTCTCAAATAAGCCCCGATGACAACCGAGACTTTCCCCTGGACGCCATGCTGACTGGAAATTGGAATTCTTCCCAGGTGACTGTCCACGTTCATGGGCAGGAAGTCCTGTCAGAGGAGACAGTGCACCCAGGAGCAGAGCCTGAATCGCCTAGTGAGCTGCAGCATGTCGCGCCGACCTCAACTCCTGAGGAGTCCCAGGAGGAGACCACACAGAGCCCGGAGCTGGGGCTGCCAGAGGAGCCAAGCCTGTGCCATGAATTGGAGTTCCAGCCCCTGCAGCAGAGCGGTGGGAAGCCTCAGCAGGAAGGGGGCATTGTGACGGGCAGAGTGCGGGGAGGACGATGTCTCCCCACTCCTCAGGAGGCGAGGTGGAGCATCGTGGGAATCAATCCCAGAATCCGGGGCATTGCCAGGAGACCGTACTAGCCAGTCCCCCAGAAACAGCCATGTTGAAATGGCAGTATTCTTGGTGGTTCTCTTGGCCCTCCACTAGTGCTCCTGATGGTGACATTGGGGTGACCTGAGCTGCCCTTAGGCCCGTTTCTGGATTCCTACCAAAGATGATGAGAGCTGTTTGCCACATATGGGGGGGCCTTACATGTAGCTGATCGCTGCCTTCTTTTCTTCTCAGAGGTTCCAGTGTCCCAGGCCCCAGGCCTTCCTGAAGAGAGGAGCTCTGGAAACCCAGACATGGTTGCCCTTCTTACTGCTCTTTCACAGGTGTGCTCTAGTTTCCCTATGTGCCACAGAGAACCTGAAGACGCCACAGGCACTGGCTCAGACCTCACGCCTCACGCCCCATACCCCACACCCTCAGGTCGGGCAGGGCGCCAGTTCCCATTCTTCTTGTCAGTTTAAGTCCTCAGTTCTAGACGTGTCTGCGGCGGGAGGAGCCGCATGTGATGAGGTGAATGATAGTTGTCGCAGTCAGATCGTCAGGCTCCAGAGCCTTTTTATTTGCCGCGCTACCCAGAGACAGGGGCTGACCGAATGCGATTATTTTGGAGCACTCCAGCACAACTTGAGTGAGTCGCTGACTGAGGGCTTGTTTCCCTTCTCTTCGGGGGTAACCTTGATCGTCACTTGTAAGAATGGCAGCTGTGCCGCAGGAATGATTTCTGAACTTGTGTGTCGTCCCCTTCCAAGGACCACGTTCAGTCAGGCTGTGGTCCACACGAAGCTTTCACTGTGGCTGCACGGTGAGGCTAGAGACAAAAGCTGTAGCTTTCATCTGTGGTTTTACATTGTACCCTAGTTGCAGGAAGGGGCCCTGCGCGTGCCGTGTCGACTGCATGAGTGATGGGGGTGCCCAGAGAAGGTCAGTTAGGGAAAGCTTTCTAGAAGAGTTGAATCCTTGCAGAAATGTAGGTGGCATGAAAGCCTCAAAGACAGAGTTAATGATGACTTTGAAGACTTTTCTTGTATTTCCACCACTGTGCTCTGAAAGAAGAGCAGAGGCTGGCCCTGAAAGAAAGCAGGGGGACTTGAGGGCACAGGGGAGGGCCCTTGCAAAAGTAGGAAGTCAGGGAGCAGCAGTCGAGGGTGAAACAGATTTTCTGAAAGGGAGCCCAGAGTCCTGCCAGAGTCCCTTTTGTCTCCTGGCGTAAGCTTCACCCCAGGATAGAAATAGGAGGCTCCATGAAGCATCCTGTTTTCACCAAAGCCTGTGTCATTTCAGGGATTGGTAACTTTCAAGGACGTGGCTGTGTGCTTCTCCCAGGACCAGTGGAGCGATATGGATCCAACACAGAAAGAGTTCTATGGAGAATATGTCTTGGAAGAAGACTGCGGAATTGTGGTCTCTTTGTGTAAGGAATTTCAAGTGTTTCTAGAGTGTTCTGAGCACAGAGGTCTTTCTCCTGTTGGAAATTACAGGGAGGAGGGTATGTGGGGGGGGAGTCTTAGACCTTAGACTGTATGCACCACTTTTCTCTTACGCCTCCCCCACCAATGAGATTGAAGGATTAGCTAAGGAAGAAGGTATCTTCCAAGTTGAGGGGAAGAGAAGATGCTTAGAAAGTGGTTGGAAACTTCTAAAGAGAAAAGAAAATGATAATATGACAGCTTTAGCCTATCTGAGGCAGCTTTGAGTTTTGAAACCATCTATAGAAGATGATCTGCTTACTCGAATATGGGGAAAGAGAGAGCATTAGCAGTCGTACGACCATTGAGGTGCAGATGAAGGGCAAGGACTGTGCAGGATTTGGTGAGAGGTGATCAAGCTAAAAAGACCAGCTTTGGTCCACTGACCAGGCTGTACCTTTGTTCTCCAGCCTACCCAGCAGAAGAGGTCTGCTCTTAGTGCAGGGAATTACTGAACCAATCATAATGTCCCGCTTTCCCTCTCTTGAGCAGCATTTCCAATCCCCAGACTAGATGAGATCTCCCACGTTAGAGAGGAAGAGCCTTTGGTCCCAGATATCCCAGAGCCTCAAGAGCCTCAAGAGCCAGAAATCCTGAGTTTTACCTACACAGGTGAGGAACAACAAAAGGAATCTCCCCTCACAGAGCTGGCAATCCCCTCTCCCACTCTGGGGTGCCCCTCTCATTGGTTCTTCCAACCTGTTGGCCATTACCCCTATCCTCCTCTGAATGCCAGATTCTTCTGTCTGCACCCTCCTCTTTCCCCTCCCATCATTCGTGTGAGGGATATGTCGTGCCAAGTGGCGAAACCGGAACTTTGGAAGTGCAGCTCTTGTCATTTACTAAGCAGGTCACTTAAACTCCTGGTCCTCAGTCTCCACATTTCTGAAATGAGGGTGATAATCTTTGTCCCTACTAAGGCTTGTTGACAGCACAAGATAACCTATCAGAAAGTGCCTGGCACACGACAGAATTCAGTTGACTAGTTATTTCCTTCTTTCCCAGCCTCTACCTTATGAAATGTGGGCTTCTCTCTATATGGTCTTGCCTTCCCAAGACTGTTTAACAATCCTGTCATTGTGTAGAAGGCACCATTACCTGTATAATTTCCCCTTTTCACCTCTCACCCTCTCTACAGGAGACAGGAGCGAAGATGAAGAAGAGTACCTTGAGCAAGAAGATGTAAGTTTGGAGGATCTACACACATCTATTTTGGGAGACCCAGAAATCCACCAGACTCCAGACTGGGAAATAGTCTTTGAGGATGATCCAGGTAGACTTAACGAAAGACAATTTGGTACAAATATCTCTCAAGTCAATAGTTTATCGAATCTTCAGGAAACCATGCCTATCTACCCCCTGTTAGGGAGACACCATGACTGTCCCGTATGTGGAAAAAGTTTCACTTGTAACTCCCACCTCGTTAGACACCTGAGAACTCACACAGGAGAGAAACCATATAAATGTATGGAGTGTGGAAAAAGTTACACGCGGAGCTCACATCTTGCCAGGCACCAGAAGGTTCACAAAATGGGCACTTCTTATAAATTTCCCCTAAACCAGAAGAATTTGGATGAGACCTCCCCTCTGGTCCAGGCTGAGAGAACTCCACCGGTTGAGAAACCCTTTAGATGTGACGATTGTGGAAAACGCTTCCGCTGGACTTCGGACCTTGTCCGGCACCAGAGGACACACACAGGGGAGAAACCCTTCTTTTGTACTATTTGTGGCAAGAGCTTCAGCCAGAAATCTGTGCTGACAACACACCAAAGAATCCACCTTGGAGGCAAACCCTACCTGTGTGGAGAGTGTGGAGAGGACTTCAGTGACCACAGGCGGTACCTGGCGCACCGGAAGACCCACGCGGCCGAGGAGCTCTACCTCTGTAGCGAGTGTGGGCGGTGCTTCAACCACAGTGCCGCGTTTGCCAAGCACCTCAGGGGACATGCCTCGGTGAGGCCCTGCCGGTGCAACGAATGTGGGAAAAGTTTCAGTCGGAGGGACCACCTTGTCCGGCATCAGAGAACACACACTGGCGAGAAACCCTTCACGTGCCCTACCTGTGGAAAAAGCTTCAGCAGGGGCTATCACCTAATCAGGCATCAGAGGACCCACTCAGAAAAGACCTCCTAGCCCGGTTCCCATGGGAGGAGATGTGCATTCAGCCCTTCCCTGGGATGGGCGAGGAGAAGCCCTCTCGTCTGCTCGGGAAGACCTTTTCCGGGGCGTCTCCCTGAAGACCTAGGTCACCTCTTCCCACAGCTGAATCAAATCCCCCTGGGCAGAACCTGTCAACCTTCTTCTATACCTGGAAGAAAGTTTTTGCCCAAAGTACAACTTGGGTGGAAGCATCTCCTTGACTGGAGGCTCCTGCCTCTACCTCATGGGTATGAAGTAGGAGATTTAAAAGACTTAAGAGGTCGTGGCCATTCTGTTTCACCCAAAATAGGCTGCTGCATATCCTAAAGACTGCTTAACAGCCTCGAGTGTAAAGTTGCCCAGGACAGCCCTTTAGGTTTGGCAAGGGACCAGCCTCTAGGATTCTGTCCTAACTGGGTTCAACTCTTAAAAGCACACAGCCCGGAACTCCAGGCAGGAGATTTGCATCCTGACGGCTCAGCCACACACTCACAGGATGACTGTAGAAATCTCTCACTGGTCCACTCCTTCACCATGCACTTTCCTTCGATCCTGGGGAGAGATGGGCGAAGTGTTTGATGGGGGGAAACCTCGAGGCTGCAGCATGTGGACCTTGTCAGGCTGCTCCCTTCCCCAGTGCCAAAACGGTGCCAGGTGCCAGACCCTGCTAGAAAAGAGGACCGAGTCAGAAGCCTCTTTCCTTATGGGGTGTTTTCCTGTTACGATTCTCATGCCCAGCCTTCCTACTGTTCTACCAGCCTCTTGGTTTTGCCCCTAGCACTTCTGCTAACAAGTGAGATGTAACAGTTGGGTGCTGGGGGATTCTGTAAAGCATAATTAAATCATGAAATCATTTACATTCCCACCTGTGTACAAGCCCACCCATCCTGCCCTCTGTGGGTTTGTGAAGGGATTTTTGGAACAGTTGTCAGCTTACATAGATACTATAATAATTCTAGAATCCTGATTGACTGAGTCCCTTCATTTACATGAAGAAAACATGAAGATCTGAGACCAAATTATGGGAAAAAAGTTTTTTTAAAAGCTGTTGCTGTTGGCTAAGGCCATCAAGACTATTCTGACACCCTGGCCCCTATTCTCCCTGCCTTGGTTCTCTGATCAGGGAACATTATGAACCCCAGCACCTGGGACCCTGAAGAAACTACCAGGAGTAAATGGCTTTCATGTATTTGCGTTGTTTTCCTTTTTCTTACGTGATTTCATTTTTATGTAATTAAGAACTAAATAGTAGTATCTCACGGCCTGATGGTAGGATCTCTGTTGCCTGATAAAGGTTCTGTGGAGATGAGGCTGAATTAAGTATGAATCTCACCTGCTCTGCTTGTGGGAATGGCAAGGACTGGATGGACGTCCACCCTAAATGGAGCACAGGGTATGGGATTAAAGCATGAGAAGGGCAATTGTCTTTCATGCCTGGTTTCTTCAGCCGTTTTCTCAATCCATTATGTGCCAGTGCGTACAGAGAATATGGGTGGCGTAGCAAGGCCATTCTCGTTTGGGTCAGTAATGGTATTCCAACTGGCCAGTCTGGTTTTAATACCAGTCAGCCATTGTCCTAGAAATATACACATTTTCATATGTGTAAAAGGAACACTGGCAGCCATGTTCCCTGGTTTCTGGAACTTTCCATTTTATCTATTCACTTTCCAAGGCTTCAGGTTCCAGATTGTTCTGAATGTCATGTATACAAAGAGATCGGGGAATACAGAGTAGTTTTCTATGAGGCTAGAGAGGGCTTGGTATGGTTAGCAGAGCCCCATGTGGAGTGGATGCATACCAAGGTAATATCTGTGCCTGTGGTTTGCAGAAGACATTCCTATAAAGTACAGACATTTCTGACCCATAGAGCATCAAAGCACAATTTGTCCTGGATGAAATGTCATAGTCTCAAAAGATAATTTCTCTTCGTGCCTACCAGTTAGAGGAATTAATAAAATTTTGGAGATAACTGTGACTTTATTCACTGGTGCGCCTGCATCATTGCAGTAAGTGAGAAACTGTCAAGAGAATCTACATGAGGGTGAGTTGGAGAGACTGATCCAGTCTGTTGGAACATCAAATCATTCTTATTGCTGATCGCCCTGCAAAGTTTCATGTGCTGACTCTAAATTTTTGCTTTCTCATAAAACACCGTATTTTCTGAGGTTTGTGGAGGGGCATGCTGTGTTGTAAACCTGAGCATGAGCAGGACTGTAGTTTACAGCAGAAGAGAAGAACCTGCAGTGACAAGCGGTACAGTGGGACATGGACACGTATTGGGGCACAGGTTACCCTTCCTACTCTGAAGGGGCTCCCCATAGAACTTTGTAAACAGTTGAATATGGGTGCTTTGGAAAACAGTACTAAATTAAACTTCCTGGAGAACAAAGAGGCAAGATTTTAATGATAATACTTGGAGGAAGCTATAAAATAAATCAATTTAAGAAATCTGCTAGATTGTTGGAAATGAAGTGACATACTAATGACATTATGAAATTAAAATGATAACGTGAGCTTTTGGCCATTCGTTTAGGAATAACCAAGAAATACTCAGCCTCTTCTCCACCCCAGTTACCCAAAAGAAATAAATGGAAAGAGATAAAGGCAGAATGTAGTTTTATTATCTCGATAAAGGCTAGAGCAGAATCTAGTGATCTCATATGAACTTCATGGAAAGTTTCATTGATTGGATTAACATCAAAGTGCTAGAAGCAAAGTGCTAGAAGCAAAGCAAGCTTAAAAAAAAAAAAAAAAAAAAAACCTCTTCAAAGCCCAACCCAACCAAAGGATCTAATATGACATGCATTCTTTCCACAAAGCAGCAAGATGGGAAGCAAGAAAATGCTCCACTGGGTCCTGCAAAGTTGGCAGAGACTATTTGCTCCACTTTTCACATGTCAGAACAGCAACCTCCAGACCATCCTTTGCATGAGGAAAAGAAGCTAATATGCACCCCTTCCTAAGTTGTTTTGATTCACCAGGCACCTAGGAAGGACACCATTGCAGATGGGCATTAATTTGAGCCTCTGATGGTTTTGTACGATGAAAGCTATACTGAGAAATAGAAAATTATGATATGCCATACACATTAGTAGTCTTCCACACTGATACTTTTCATTAGTTTTACCTCAAACATCTCCCTCAACTGACCAGAGTATTCCTTCTAGCCACAATAACTCTCCTGAGAGAAATATATGTAATTTTTTTCTGTCTCCTTAAATTTCTAGTGATGTTAGCCGACTGACCCCTTCATCTGATCTTTGAGAGATGAACAAACTAAAAGTAAGCCAGAAAAAAATGGGTGCCCTACCAATGTACTCACTAACCTTCGTTTTGGCAGAACATAGTGTTAAACTTGGAGCCTGTCTCCTTGTAAGTAGAAAAACTTGATTCCTCCTTGGGGAAGCCCTGAGAAGGAGGCAAAGACAAGCTTTGAGCTCTCTTCAGATATCAGTTGTAAATTATCCTTAATAACAAGAAGAAGTGGAGAATTCTTGCCAGGTCAGCAAAAGTAAGGATAACCCATAACGTACAGTTCCTGTTCTTACGGTGTATGTATGCTCGTGGAGGTTTCAGGTAAAAAGGAAGAAGAGAGAATGCAATCTGATTTTTTATTTTTTTAAACAAAGTTTTTTAATGTTTATTTTTGAGAACAAGAGATACAGAGCACTAGCAGGGGAGGGTCAGAGAGAGAGGAAGACACAGAATCTGAAGCAGGCTCCAAGCACTGAGCTGTCAGCACAGAGCCTGACATGGCTTGAACTCAGGAACCGTGAGTTCATAACCTGAGCTGAAGTCAGACACTCAACTGACCGAGCCACCCAGGTGCCCCACAATTTGGGTTTTTTACAAAAGAGCACAGGCTAGACTATTTGGAGATCTGTAAGGGTGGGGACTCTTGCATGGAGCCTGGGAGGCAAAGAACAGAGCTTCTCCAATGACTTCCACCTTTAAGCAGAAGTAGTAGGTAGCTGGAACAAGAAGACCCAACCCTCTGCAGAGGTGTGTGGAAAATAAATCTTCATTTAAGTAGAGTATAAATCTTAGTAATCTGTACAGAATACGACAAGGCTTCAAAAGGCCATTTGTACAGGAAGGTAATGGAAATTAAGTTCCCAGAGTTTCCCGTAAGATTACTGCTCTGGGCTCTTCTCTGTGGTTCCTCATTAGTTGTACATCTTATGATCCCTTAGAAGAGCTTAAAAGACTTCTCAAAGGAAGATCTCAAGAAGACAACTATGGCAACTGTTTGGTGCTTCAGTTCACTTACTGAATCTCTGCAAAAGTTCTACAGAGAAAAAGCTCAAGGCTGAAGATCGGGGGGTGGGAGGGGGTAGTTGGAAGAAAGTACCCAAACAATGAGTTAACCTTGAGCCAGGAAACATTGATACTAAAACAGAAAACTGGATCTGCAAAACACAGGAAGAAGACCTCTGCTTCTTTCTTTACCTCTGAGGAGATAGTTTAAGAGGCCCTCTGCTACAATGGAACTATATTTTGGATAAACTACTAATAGAGAACAGAAATATCATGTAAGTTGGGGTAGGTTATTAAGAATTTAAGTGTTTTAGCATTCACCAATTGTTCAGGACAAAAGCTAGAAGATGTTGGTTGACCTTGGATATTAAGTATGCACTCGACAGTATCAAGGATCCTTATTACAAGAAATGGAATAAATAATATCCTAAATAGTGGAGGGAAAACTGGAAGTAAGAATTTAAAAACAAAAAGTCGGAAACTAACTCATATTGTCCAAAGAAAGGCAAAAAAATAAGCATCTAAAGATAGGACAAATAGAACTAAAAGATGCAGAAAGCCCAAATACATGAAGAAAACACAAAATACTGGTTAAATGATAGAGATTTTTAAGGTGGGCTCAAAAGTCAATTCAAGCAATAGGCCACATACCAGAGATACACAAAAATAATGAACAGTTAAAAGAATGGAGAGAATATATATACCAGGAGAATAATTAACCTAAAGAAGCTAAGGGAATTATTTTAATATTGACAAAAGTTTTTTTTTAAATACAAAAAGCCTAATGAGAAGTAAGGCTTAATATACTTAAAAGTTTAATCTCCCAGGAAAGTATAACAAGTCTGTATTTCTATGTTGTTAATGGAGTAGCCTCAGGTTATGCACCAAAAAATTGGTAGAAATACATAGGAGAATTGACAAACTCATCACCTTAGTGAACCATCTGAATACCCCTCCCCCAGTTATTGATAGAGCAAATGGAAAACCCAGTGAGGATACATATTTATACAACACAATTTAGTAACTATGGGCAGGAAAAATCCTTGCCTCACAATTATAGAATATATGTTCTCAAACAAGTATAAAACACTTAAAATAATTGCTACTATCAAGTGTAATAAAGTAAGACTCAACAAATAGCAGGGTGCCTGGTTGGCTCAATCGGTTAAGCATCCGACTTTGGCTCAGGTCATGATCTCGTGGTTCATGAGTTCAAGCCCTGTGTCAGGCTCTGTGCTGACAGCCCGGAGTCTGGAGCCTGCTTTGGACTCTGTGTCTACCTCTCTGCTCCTCCTCTGCCTATTCTCTCTCTCTCTCTCAAAAATAAATAAACATAAAAAAAAAAGACTCAACAAATAGCAAGTGCATATTATATAGGTGATGTTCTCTGACCATGATATATTTTATTTGAAAAACTACAACAACAAAAATTTTAAATCACTATGTTTGGAGAATTTTAAATGTTCACATAAATAACTCTTGCATTTTAAAGAAGATATCACATACAAATTTTCTAATACTTGGAACTAAAATGAAATGTAAATACTGTTTATTGATTCTTGCAGAATGCAGTGAAAATGATGTATAGAGGGTAATAATACGAAAAGCTAAAAAATTAGCTAAATTATCAGCTTAAGAATATTTTAAATAAAGAATATAGAAAGGAGGTAACTCTGGACAGTAATGACCAAAAATACATTAACAGAGTAAAAAAGCTGGTTCTATGAAACGATGACTAAAACTTCTGGCAATATTGAGTAAGAGATGAAAATAGAGGAATACAGTAAATAATAAGCTACAGAAATGTAAACATGTAGATAAATATAAACCAATACTGATCAATATGAATATAATGTCTTATGAAAATCAAAATATATGTCAATAACGTGTAAGATGGAGAGAGAGGATGTAGTTAAAATGTTCTAAGGTTCT